TAAAAAGCACATTTTGGCCTTTTAATTTATGCAATGGTGACATTTTTTTTTTGCCAAAATACATGGGGAAAAAAACTCCGTATTTGGTATTCGGCCTTCGGCCCAGTGTTTAATTTTGTTCGGTTTCGGCTTCGGCCAAGAATTTTCATTTCGGTGCATCCCTAAAACTTATGTCATGTATACATACACATTTGTAATGATGAAGTTATATTTTAGTACATTTAACATATATTAATTTTAAAAGCAAATTTAAATACATACACTACACTTAAAATTGCAATCAAGTAATTTACATGAGCTAAGATCAAAATTGTCAAGAGTCAAGATATCAAAAGTGTAGGCTTTAAAGCATGACAAAAGATGATTAATGATTAATAATAAAGAATTAAAATGTACTTTAAAGCTAAGCTACTTAAGTGTGTTAAGAAACAGTCATGAAACTGTACTGTAAGTTCACTTAAGTAGCCTTTTATTTCAATATTATATTATCTTTAAGTACAGTTTTTTAAATATACTTTTAAAATTTGAAGTACACTACAAGCACACATTCAACACAATTTAATACACTTTTTCACAAGGGCAGCATGCAGTACAACTTGATAATATTCAGAATTTGAAGTGCATGCTGTATTTAAAAAGACAGAGAGGATTTATAATGATGTACAGTGGAACTACAGCTTGAGAAAAGATGGCGTTATAATAAGATTCCATGCCACAAAAGTCGCTTTCACAAGAAAAAACAACCATTATCTATTGTGTGAGCCAATTTATAAAAGTCATTAACATGATGGAAAAACTGTAGTCCAGGGACTAATGGAACATTCCAGGAACAAGGGGCTTTTTAGACATACTGATGAAACCCAAAGTCATCCATCTTTCTTCTCATCGCATAAACATAAGGCGTATAAATGAATAATGGTGATATAACTAACCCATGCAGCTGTGGCGAGCACAAAGCGCTGTGAGTAGACCACTGCAAAAAGCCTGCCTTATTTATACCTCCTGTGTTATGTGCCTATTTCAAATAAGTCTACAATGCATGAACCCAGGCCTTCCTCGTAGAGAAGAATTCTTTCAACTTTTATACTGTAGCAGTTTATATTTAATTGTGATGCAAGCATTATCTTCCACCATTTGTCTTATTTGCAGTTTTTCAAGCTTTCACATCATTCTGCAACAAATAGCACAGTATATAGAAAACACGCAGGCTGTCCCCAGTCGAACAGGACTGTTTACAGACTATTTACTATTGAATCACAACACTATTGATATTCCTCTTCATATTCTTTTTTCTCTGCAATTAATTCAGCATGAACAGCTTAAAGTACAGACCTATTTCAAACTACACTGTATTAGAGTACAAGAAAATTGTTTGACTTCAAAATTTCACATTTAATTCTAATTTGTTACTTGCCAGTTTTTGTAATTATTTGTGAAAATTACTAGCAATTTGAGTAAACTTTTTCTTTTTTTCAGTGTGAGTATTCGACGTTTTATGAATTTAACAATGTCACACTGGTTCTGGTGAGTTTTTTTTTTTTTAATAATTGTAAGTAATTGAAAGTAAATTCATTCATTTAAGTGAAAGCTAGACTGGTCAGTGTTTATAATAAATATTTGACACTCTATGAGTATCTGAATGACAGGCAAGGAAAAGCACATTTTGTGAACAAACTGAATAAGCCGGAGATTGCACCCAAACATAGATGAATAAAGTTTTATGTTCAGCATAAAAGTAATCCTGAAGTCCTCCAAGGCCAGCTTTACTACGGTCGATATCTGTTTTGAGATGAAAGATGGCATCAATTAACAACATGCATTGTATGAAAATAGAGAGCGAAGGAAAGACTGCAGAGATACAATAGACATTATTATGTAGGAAATCGATTGTCCAGATGAGTGGTCAGTTATTCCAGACAACAGAAATTCATTAAACAAAAATATTTGACTTGAAGTATTTTAGAAAGCTATGTGTAATAATCTAAAATAATAATCCCTTGACACAAAAACTTTTTTTTTTTTTGGTTTTGTAGCCTCTTTTGTCCCAATATTCTCAGTATAAGAATCAGTACTTATAATGTTTTCACTATTGAAAACTGAATAGGCAGTGAAGTCATTTTAATATTTGCATTCTAAATTGGGATTTAATTTCTTGGATTTTTTTTTTTGCATTCAAAATTTATATTGGTCTTTTCCTCATTAAATATGTAAATAAAGCAGAGAACCTGCATTGCTTGCAATCAGCAATATTAGGAAATGCAAATATATTTTTTATTATTATGTCACACGACTTTCTTCCAGTTTAAGTAGAAGTAACAATAGGCTAGCTTTGTGCATAATTAATAATGTAGGTATAAACAAGCCATAAGTATGTTAAAGGGATAGTTCACCCAAAAATGAAAATTCTGTCATTAATTACTCACCCACTTCTCAGCTCAGCAGAATATTTGCTCTTGCTAATAGCTCTTGCCTGCCATAGATAATATCTCTAGCCTTGTTATAAATGCATTAAAGGTCTGTCGCACAATATGGAGACTGAAGCTCAGTGCAGGTCCCAGAGTCCCCAGTCAAATCTCAGAGAGATGTAGCAACTTCTCCAAACAAGCAGAACAAGCAGATAGTTCGTGTCGTTTCTGTTGGAACAGGACTGTACCTGATATCCTGAGACCAACAGCCTGTTTGAGTTTCTTTAAACCACACAGTATTTAAATGACAGAGTAGTGATGCCTGTGATGAAATATTCTAATGGGAAAAAATGGTCAACGGTCTTCCGTTTTCTCTTTCATTTGCTGATCAGTGAAAATCTGGGGTGTTAATAAAGTGAACTTCTTGAATGCTGGGTGTCATGTTGTGGTTTATAATACTGACAGACAGTAATGGATTTGCAGCATCAATAACAGTTGGTTTTAATGGAGTCCTGACATTAAGGCTGACATCACACATCATTGTTTTACACAACTGAAAGACTGACTAATGTCTAAAGATCAAATCGGTTTGTTTTGTGCCGTTCAGTGGTTTGACAGAAATGTGGCGCTTTTAAATGGGGATTCTGGTTGTGGTCCTCTAAATGTACCGATTATAGCCTACATTAACGATTAGTCATGTAGATCAATATAATATGAAATATATTTAATGCAATTCTTTTAAAAGTTTGTTTACACAGACTTTATAATGACTTGAAATGATTTTTTTTTTTTGCATAATAGCAGCCCAATAATTGAATAAATATATCAAACAACAAAAATATTTAATCACCAACTAGAACCTATCGTTGTCATGAGCAGCCTATATGATTTCAGTATCTACTTTGTTATGTTGTAGTTGCTACAACATAACACTTCGAAATTAAATAAGTAACCACTCCAAATCATTCATAAGTGTTTTAGATTCACTAGAAGAATCAGCTCCGAAAAGAGTCATTCGTTCGGGAATCGTCACGCAATTTTTCGTTTGAGATGCATTTCTTTTATTCACTAAAAATTCGCTTTTGATTGGCGATGTATGTTTTTGATTAAATAAAAATAACCGACTTGTGTAAATCAATCATTTGAGATTAGGACTACCGGTATGATTTGATCCACTAAAAGGAACCGGCACATAAGACTCACTCATTTTGAAAATCTGATTACACTGGTCTCGCTTGATTGTTTTTGATTCACCAAAAAGAATCGACTGATAAAGAGTCATTCGTTAGGGAATCTTACTAAACTGGGCGGTGCGCTGCGCGGTTGTTTCACGATGTGGATTTATAGTATCAGCGCTGGCTGCACTATATAGGTACAGTAGCTACTGAATAGTAGTGCAATAAATACTGGCAGAACATTTTAGTTCAGAACTTCGGATGCATGTTCCAGAATTTATGAATAATTCGGTGCTTTTAAAAATGCAGCCGGTTATGAAAAACCGGTACTCGTAAATGTCTCAGTAACAGTCGTTCAGCTTCAACTGTTGGAGAATCACAGTCTATGAGCTTATAGCTAGCTGCATGTCACATTTTCTCCCTCGCCTTGCAATTTCAGTTAATATCAATATAAAGCTGCAATCACATCTGCTTATGTCCTGAAGCGTGCATCAGCAACATTAGTGTAAACAATCAGCAGAGACTAAAGTGGTCTTGCATTAGTCAACGTGGGCAACATCATCGTCATCCTTATGGAAGAGAAATCACTGATGAATTATTGGTCAGAAGAATTTGTTTCAACATTAACCCAAGCAAACAATGTATTTACGCATCAAATCTACACTTTTCAAAGTTATTTAAATGCGTATCCCCCGCAAGAAAACTTCTACACGGATGCGCGCAACTGGTTGATAAAGACAACAACTTTCCAAGTAGGTTCTGGGTAAGAAAGCGGTGTCTTACCTTCCTCCCGAGGATTTCCGCCTACAATTTCCAGTAAACCGTTAAAGAGAAAAACCGATAGCATTACAAGCACATATCGTGTCGATGAAATGCGTCCGTTTTTCTGTCTGTGTTTGGTATACATCCCTGTGGCTCTCGGTGCTGTTCTCCGTCTCGCCTCTCGCTGTATTCACTCGCCAGCGTGAGAGGAAACAAGAAGAAATAGATGTAATTGAGTCAGCTAAGCTCTGCCCTCTTGATTTGCGTGAGCCACACTTGCGTTAAACTGTCCTACTATGAGCAGGCAGAGAACACAACCAAGGAAGGAAGGGTAAGAACTGTGAAGCCTTGGACACTTGAAAGCACGCGCCAGGGCTTTCCTCCGGGCATAGTGAATAGCCAATATGGCTCAATGATCACTGTATTCAGCAGACCCCCGCAGAGAAAAAAACCCCAGCTTAAAACAGCCTAAGCTGGTTTGCTGGTCTGAAATGGTCTCTCAGGCTCGTTTTAAACGGTTGGTTTATGACTGATGTAGGAAAGCCAAAGCCCATTTCCACCACATAAGGATCCTTCTTTAAAGAAAAGAAGAAGAAGAAGAAAACATTTGTGGCATAAATTACAAGATAGTAAGTCACAACTATGAGTCACAACTAAAAACGTCTAAATTGTGACATTAAAAAGTCAAAATTATGAGATAAAAGTCTTCATTACAGTATAAGTCAAACGTACAAATGCTGACATATGTCATATTGGAGATAAAATCTCAAACTTATGAGATACAATTTTGACTTTTTAATTTCATAGTTATGACTTAGTCAGTCATAATGTTGACTTTTATGTCATAATTATGATTTACCCACTTGATATTTTTTTTCTTATCTGGCAGGAATGGGCTTCCATAGGGAAAAAGGGCTAATAATAATTTAATATTCAGACTAATATGACTGTTCTTGAATTCTGGGAAAAACTCTATTTTTAAAAAACATTTTAACCTTTAAAAGTAATACTTTGTTACAAAACTTAATTCATATACATTTTTAGTATATTTTTACTTAACATAGCCTATATAATATATAATATGTGACCCTCAACCGCAAAACCAGTCATAAAGGTCAATTTTTTTTAAATTGAGATTTATGCATCATCTGAAAGCTGAATAAAAAAGCTTTGTGATTTGTTCGGATAGGAAAATATTTGGCTGAGATACATCTATTTGAAAATCTGGAATCCGAGGGTGCAAAAAAAAAAAAAATCAGAATATTGAGAAATCACCTTTAAAGTTGTCCAAATGAAGTTCTTAGCAATTCATATTACTAATTGAAAATTAAGTTTTGATATATTTATGGTAGGAAATTTACAAAATATCTTCATAGAACATGATCTTTACTTAATATCATAGTGATTTTTGGCATAAAAGAAAAATCGATAATTTTGACCCATACAATGTATTGTTGGCTATTGCTAAAAATATACCCTTGCAGGTGCTACTTAAGACTGGTTTTGTGGTCCAGGGTCACATATAATATAATATAATATAGGCTAATAGTTTCACCTGCACTTTTGAATTCTGTTGTTTCCACAATTCTGCATAAAGCATTTAATTTTTTTTTTCAGCTGGCACATAACAGCATTGTGATCCAAGATGTAATGCTGGCAGAGCGGCTGTGGGCCTGGGAAGAAAAAGCCCCACAATGAAACAATGGATCTCTTAACAGAGCATGTGCAGTGTGGTTTCTGTGACTTTATCATTACTCAGTCACCAGGAAATGTTATATCCATTCAGATTTTAAACACAGCAATACCATCAAAACAAGGCATGCAAGCGGCTTACAGCACACACACAATAGGCCTCCTGCAACTTTGTACATCCAAGCCATAAAAGAGATTGTGTAGAGCCAACCAGTCTTGTAATTCAAACTGTGGGAGTTAACACTGATTACTTTCATGTGACTGATCAAGCTATTATATAAAGCAAGAATGAGTAACAAAATGCTTTCTTTGTGCCCAGATTTGACTAATGCAAAAACTTGGATAAATATGTCTTTAATAATGTCTAAATATATATCCAAATACAAGTAACTAATTATGTGGGAATCCAAAGTTCCCAGCCACTATAGGGAACACAATCATGTTTATATGTTTATATATAAAGAGCTAAACAGCCATCTAGTGGTTACACGATAGTATTACAGATGATAAATGCTGACTAAGTTAGAGATAAATATTTTAATAAATAATTTAGTAATATTTTGTAAAATCCCCTTAAATTACAACATGTTAAATGAAACGTTATTACTGTTGGTTCTGTTGGTTCAATTATTATTGAACCAAATTTGTGTTTAAAAAATGGATTATTTTGATTATAATTTACATAATGGAAATTATGCATGTATTAGGCTAGTGCAGATACTAGAACTTCTTTAAGTATCATCAAAATTACAATATAATATTACAATAAACTATTATATCATATAGCCTGTTGAGGAAGAGAATGAAACTACACAGCTCGCAATTCAGTATGAACACATAGCCTAATGGTACACAGCTTATAAAATATCATGTTTTAATTAAATTGTTATTTTTTAATAAATTTTTTTACTGTATGTGTACGTTAAAAGTACCATTCCGGCAGCAAGAACGATCCTGAACTAAATGAAGATTAATGTCTAGGCGTGTGATGTGTTTATTGGACCAATCAGATAAGAGTAAATTGAGTCAGCGAGAGGCTCATTTGATTGGCTACAAGAAGAAGGAGGACCCGCCCTCCCCCTCACGCTTGCAAAACTCAGTCAGTGAGAGAATCGTGCCAAAATTGTAAGCGCAGAGAAAAGAGAGACGGAGCTGTACATATCGGTTTATTTCGGGAACTTTTTGCCCCACATGTACAACAAGTCATTTAGACATTTGCAACAGTTTGTTTTTTACACATACAGATTGGTTCTATGCAGTCAATCCGTTTTGCAGTTCTTTAAACTGTTGTTTTCCCAAAAAATAGTTCAGAAAATTTAACTGATCAGAGTAAGGAAATAAGGAAAGATATGTTAAAAGAGTATCCAGATTTAATGGGGAAAAAGGTGATTGGTAATGATTTGCTAGAGGTACCATTCTCTATGAGCGAATTAAGAAATGCAGTAAGAAGAATTAAACAATCTGCTCCAGGAATGGGATGGAGTAAGTTATAGTATGATGAAGCATTTTAGTGAAAATTCTATGAAGGTGATTTTAGCATTTTACAATAGAATATGGATGGAAGGTATACTTCCTCAAAGTTGGAAGGAAGCATTAATTATACCTATTAGACAAATATTTATGATGATATTGCATGCCCTTCTTTATATGTGTTTTTGCAGTTTTATGTTGCTATTCCAGTGTCAGAAAAAAATCTGCTAAAAAAACTAAACAATTCCTAAGTAAGAGCAACTAAGAGTAACTTAGTTTAATTTATTTCCCTGTTCTAAAACAAAAAAAACTGATTTCCACAGTGTTAATCACTCATTAGAGATGCATTATCAGAGGAACCCATTCGTTGTCACATCCTCTGCTTATACATTGTTTGTGCTAGAGCCTGTCGTTTGTGCTAAAACTGACCTTAAAAATGAATGAATGAATGAATGAGAAAGATGCTCTGCGCCACACATCGTGCAAACTAACTAAATCTGCTGGGTGAAAATGCAAATTAGCATTTGAATATGCTGCTAATTTTCTTTTTTGGGCGAACTATTCCTTTAAAAAAGAAAGTGTGTGAAAATGTGAAATGTAACAAATATAATATGTATCTGTCCATGGTGCTGAGATCATATTTATTACAAGGTGTGTTGCAACAGAACACTTCCACCTGCATTTGATCAGATAAATAAATGTTGTCCTGATTTGTAACTGATCACAAGTCTTAAAAAAAAAAAGTTTTTTTTTTATTTTTTTTATTTTTTTAAATATACAATAGCATTTGTGAAATTGTCACACTACACTGTAGGACTTTTATTTAATGCCACCAGTCTAAAACATGAGGTCAAACATCACTTGAGTTGTAGTTTAGTTAGTCACTATCACACTTTAATCATACGTGGATAAATGGAAAGTTTCACCCACAGAGGTGCGTGCACTGATGAGGGCTATCTCATTCTTTCCATTCTTGATCTTACAGGGTTTTTTGTTGTTGTTGTTGTTGGCCTGGGCTCATAGTCCAAAACCACAAGTGTATAAAGTGTCATGCTGCTGCGTCTACCAACATCAGACAACAGAGAAAAAAAAAAAGTTTCTTATTACACTCTATTTTAATTGTCATTTTGCATTGATAATTATTATGCACACACCTAATGATTTTCATATTAATTGAGTGGTCACTGGAATTTATGTTATGTATTTATGTAAATATTAATTTGTCACATTTAAAATGTGAATTAAAATAAAAAAGATTATCAAAAAGTGAAAATTTTAAAACAAATAGTGACCAATTACCGTACATTTTCTGCTCAGGTATCACACTTAAGCATAATATACCAATTACACACTGAAGCTAATGGCCAAAGAGTTTTTTCAAAATAAAAATAATTTAATTAAACCATTTTATTTTTCTACACACCTGTGAGACTATAAAAGAATCAATCATAATCATTAGTGATGTGTAGATTTGCATATAACAGTTATCGCTGATGTATTGGTAAATAATAAAAGGAAACAACTATTGCTAATCTGAAAACTGCTAAAGCTCAGTAAGTGTGTGTTGGTCTGCTGAAGTTCACCTCACTGGGGCTTGTTCTGCACTGAACTGCTACTTCCGGTCACTCCCTACAGAAAATGATTCTTTGTTTCCAAACCCTGCCACTTTATTTGATGAGAGGCTGATTTTGCTCGAACACAGTCATGTGGTTTGAGGTGTGGTTGGTCTACAATAGCTATGCTCATATATCTCTAAAAAAAAACAAATTAGGTAAATGCAACTTATTTAATGATGCACTAAAAGATTATGTATTCACAGGCTTCATTTTGTTATTTAGCTGGTAGCATACATATATATTTTACTTACAGCTATTGCACTCCTCATTATGGATTTCCTATTAATGTTGAATAATATATATATATATATATATATATATATCCCTCCAGGATCAAGATCCAGACATACACTGGAAGTTGAACTGAGACCTGTAAGAAGTATGAGTGATGTGGAGACACATATTGTTCATGCTGCCATA